AACCGAAAATATGTTAATTGATTAATCACTGTTATCTTGCACAGTTGATTTTTCAAAAGTATATGTTTACTAAAGCAGACGGAATACCCCCATATTTAATTTTGTTTGTCAATGTGACGATATGCCCTTTCACTATCAATAAAAGCGACAAATGCACTTACAGTTGTTGCAGCAAGGGTCGCGAACTTGTCGAGATTTCTGGATTTTATCCAGGTATCCAAAGGAAAAACACAATAACAACGGCAACAACTGGTGAATCGTCAGATCAGTGCCCCTTTCATGTACCCAGCAATAACTTCTCGTGAGGCTCCTATGACATTACCATGATTACTGGGTCCGACTTTCTACTTAATAATCTCATTCATTTCTTATTCTTTCTTGAACGTTTCTTCCCAAACAGCTTGACTATAAATAAGCAAAAACTAAATTAATAAACTATGAAAAACTTTCCCAATTTTCAATCATGACAAAACTATAGACTTTCACTTATGCTCTATAAGCAATACTGAACTAATTACACTTATATTAGCTTAAAACAAAAGCCACAATTAGAACCATACATATGAAAGATTAACATACAGAAGAACATGCTGTCACAAAATCTAGACTTAAACTCAAATTTTACAAGAGTTTCAAAACATATATTCTGCAGGTGATAACCATCCATTAAAACATAACGTTGCTCCTAAACTAATCAGATAACACTGTTTTCCCTCATATTTTAACTTGAGAGCTGTTGGCTAACAAGCCATGCTTGCTGTCATGCTTGCTTCTTGCTTCTGTGTGCATGACAAGCACAGGTTCTACATGCTTTAATTGGATATAACCCTAATTATCTCCCTTAGCTAAATAGAGTATAGTGTCACTTAAAGAGACATCAAACTAGGTTACTCAGGCCTGAGCTAAAATTAGGACAACACAGTAAACAGATTAATCCTTGTTACTCTCACCACTATCATTTTAACCCTTCTAATCCAAACTGAAAAAAAAAAAAATCTTGTTTTTGGTCATTACATTATTATTTCTAAATAATTTCAGTAAAATCTAAATATTTTGTTACATTTGTATATTTATCCTGCATTACTCCAGGTCCAGCTGAAGCAATAGTTGTTCTAACTTGTTGTGAGGCAGACCTCATCGCACAGTGCCCATGTGACCACAGAAGTGAATCGTAACATCTGCAGTTATCGTGGGGAGGCAGCTTTGTGACAGGTGGGCCCTCAGATTCAGTAATGCAGGAGAAGTTTACAAATGTAACATAATGCACTGAATTGGATGGTACAGTGGTGGGCATACTTTTAGATGTGGTCCCCAGAAAAAAAGCTTGAGAATGTCTTGGCAGCCTTCCAGCGCATCACTAGCTAAGATCAGCAGCCACTCAACCAATCCAGTCCGTGGAAAGACGAGAGTATGAGAACGTCCAGGTAAAATGCAGCAATAGAAAATAGCATGCACTAGAGTCTGAACCTGACTTACGAGGCCAATGCTGGCAGCATAGAGATCCCGCTATCGGGTGTGCGAACACTGAGTGAGCCAGCTGGCTCTTGACAGGTGGAGATGTTGTTAGCGTCTAGGATTGGTGATCTGCTGGGCAACGACCAGAGGGCTAAAATGTGTACACCTTTGACGTCTTCCAAGGACACATCCCCCAGGTAGTGGCTTGCAAAGAATGTGTCAGATCTCCAAAAGCATCCTTCCATGATAATTCTGATTGAGCAATTACTGTGGAGAGCCAGCGTAGAGGCGACCGCCCGAATCTCATGAGGATTGTTGGCTCCAGAAGGATCAACGCCAGCGGCCTCATATGCCTGAAGAATGATGGCGCATAACCACAGGGATATGGTATTGCAGCTGACTTCTGTCGTGGATGTCTTGGAGACTTGAATTGAACGTCCTTTCCGAGCACCTCAATAGTGTTGGAGCAGTGGATGAAAACTCTCAGTACATGCACTGGGCACAGGAGTTCCTCCTCATCTACAATGCCCACAATCGAGGAGAGTGGTGGGATGGTGAAAGACCGGTCCAGGCTGTCCTGGTGATTGAGTGAGTGAGTGAGTTGGGATATACGCTGTTTTTTTAACAGTATTCCAGTTATATCATGTGTGTCAGCTTAATGTGGGAGGAAAGTCTGAAGTGATACATTAGATGTTAACCACTTCGGTGAAACCAACGAGCACGGGTGTGGTGCTGACAAACCTAGAAACATAATCGGAGCGAACCAGGATTCGAACTCACAATCATAGGTTTCTGATCGCTCTAGGGATGCAACTCTGCACAGTGAATCGCGGCGCCTTAGGCGACTGGGCCACCCACGCCCCCTCAGGCTGTCCTGGGAGTTGATTCTTGGCAATGAAGTCCCAGCACAGCTGGGTGAACTGCTCCCTGCGCCCTGTGCTCAAAATGGACAAGGGTGATGTAGAGCCTGTGTAGCTCGCTGACCCATTTGGGCGACAAGTTCTCTCAAATGTGTTTTCGGTCGACTCTATTACCACAATATGCAGTGTGGCCATGTTTTTTATGTTGTGGGTTCGTAACACGGCACGAAAACAAAACCCGGAAGTTCGGCATTTACAGATGAAGGCTGGGTCTGCCGATGACTTCAGTCGGCAATTACCGATAATTTAAATTGAACTCACACCTTTAAATAATTAGTACCTGTGTGTAGTGCTAAAGATATATTTATGAAATCCTAACCGTGTAAGACCGAAAATAATACCAATGTGGTGATGTGACGAGTGGACTTTGATGGACTATAGCTTGTTTCAAAATTCCTTAGATTACAACAGAAACGCTAAATATGCTTTGGACACACTTTTTTCTTCTACGTTTTACTCAAATTCTTGTGTTAATAACACACACAGGCATATTTGTCTTTGTTTGGTAGACCCGATTTGGCGTTTTCCTTGTTTCCTGAAATAAGATTACTGTTTGAAGATCGCCTTTTAAAAAAGAGATTTACTCTACTAAATGCTGTAATTATAACATTATTCGTTAATTTTAATCAGTGTGAAATTAAGACTTTTCATCGTATTTTTGGTGAAAATACTTCACGTTACAATATATATTATATGTTATATATATATCAATATATTTATACTAGATCTATTATATATTTTATTTTGTTTTTTAAATGTATTCACATTAGCGCTTTACTTTAGGTATGTGAATAATATCATCTATTGTAAATCGAGTGAACACAGCTTTCTTGTGTATTTTGCATTCTATTTTATTTAGGGCAAATGTTGTATATATTATGTATAAATCTCACGTATGTTAATTTTAGATGAAGGAAACATAAATATCAGTCGTTTCAATTCACTGAATATTTGCATTTACCAGGACTATCAGTTGTTGAGTTATCGGTAAATGCCGCACTCACGTTTCAAGTGGAGGCCTTTACCAATACAGACTATAACGGCCGCCAATGTGGCGGGAAGACTGCATTGTGGGACAGAAATACGACATCGAGTCCGCAGTTGGCTAGTCTATAAATATCTGGTGGAAACCCAACTTCAGCAAGATATGATTGGCTTAGGGGCAATGTAGGTCATGAATATTCATGTCACTTAGTGGGTTAGAGTTCAAGGAGGCTGTGTCGCACATCGATTGTTATGGATTGACAGCACATTCTTTTGGGCAATCAAAGGTTTATTCCAGTAGAGAAAGTATACTAACTTATGACATGCGCATTTATGATGGGTAAATGTGTATGTTTAATGCGTTTGCGATGGGATTTATAAATCCATCGGTGAATGCCACATCATCGGTAATACCCACCTCCGCTTTATATATTTTGAAGGGGGGATACGGGCGGAAGTCTTACTAAGACATTTACACATATACATATTTGATTCAGGTGTACAAGCATTCAGATTCTTTGACTAATATAAAAAGCGTTTATGGAATTATTCTGAATTCATAACGGCAATGTTGGTTTGTGTGGATGAGCACCTGTGTGTGTTGGCCCTACATCAGTTCCCCACAGAATTAGTTCCATCTGGAACAAATATTGCAGTGTAAATGTATCTTTGAAAGATTTCCTTGTAAAACATGTTCCATGGGAATACCTCCCTTTGAGAAAATAGACCCAGTTCAAAGAATCAATTTCACTACAGGACACACTTTCCACAAGAGAGTATACCAACTGCTAGGCCTACTGTAAGTCGGGTGCAGGCTAAAACGGCACCTCAGCAAAACGTCACCGATTTCTCTGGCGAAAACGGCACCGCATTTGGCGTAAACGGCTACTATGTGTCGGGCGAAAACGGCACCTCTATTTTTAAGAACGATAACAACGATTTTTGTAGTAATATATAGGGTATTTGATGTATTTACATGTCATTTGATGTATGTGATGTATTTACATTGTATTTCCCGTTTTCACAGATAAGTAAATATGTTCATATATACAGTTTTGTGGCATGTCCATCGTCAACATCATCATCATCATCATGCTCTTCACAATATTGGTCCATGTACAACCGAACATTGTGAGAGTACTTGGGTCAGGGAGAGATCTCCATCTCCATCCTATAGTTGGAGTAGAGGCTAAGTTCTAATGTAAACTTGTTTTAACATCTCACAATTATTGGCGTTTGCAAGTTACAATGTAAGTTTAATATCATTTATTTGACCAAGGTAAAACAAAAATAAGGTGCCGTTTTCGCTGGAGTCTCGGTGCCGTTTTCGCCCGGTGACGTTTTGCTGAGGTGCCGTTTTCGCTATAACCCCTGTAAGTCACGTCTTAGAAATGCAGCATAAGGCTGACGAGACGTTTTGTGAAAATGCAATCCCAAAATGCAATATCTGCCATGTTTAAACCATGATGTGTTCCTTTTTGTGTAAGGCATAGCAGGCAGTCATCGCTTGCATCAGCGAGAGTGGTTTATGATCTTCAGTCATCTTCCCCTGCATACATAGTGATACGGATGGTCGTCAGTACACAAAAGCAGGAGCAAGTTATCACTCCGCCGAATTGTCAACTCTGTCAACGAACTTACCATATTCGACTCCTCCCATGAAAAAGTATGTACCTATTGTAAAATAAGTCAACCTTTTCTTAGCTTTCAGCGACACCATTTTCCAATGGTCTTTTCGTCACATCACGAGAAACTGTCACCTTTCTTTCCATACAGTCTATTCCCAGTGAATTTAGAGTTACGTGCCCTTGATAATCTAGACTTGCCAAAGCTCGCCGTTTCGTGGTTTACGTCAGGCCTTATTATTGAGCGTTTCGACTGGGGTGTCTGTGGCCCTTTTGACCTTGCCTTTCCGCATCATTCTGACATGTTCATTGCTTACTGTCTTTTTAATGCTCTTTAGAAAAACTCACAACATTTAAGCTAAAATATTTATTCGGTATCCATGTCTAATTTAGAAACTGGTTTAGAGAATAACCAATGTGCTACGAGGGGGCTTTCTGAATGGAACTACATGTATGATGCCGAAACTGATGGGGAATGTTTTGGATCTCTGAGACTACGAAGTATGACTATACTTACTGTATGTGGGACAGGTGAGATGGAATGGTGAAGATCTTATGGGTGCAGACTAAGACGGCACCTCAGCAGTTACCAACTTCATATATACTGAAGGTCAAGCGAATATATTTATAATGAAGATAAAAATTATTGATGCAGTAGTAACATTGGTAATATTTTTGTCACTATTTTCAGATCTTTTATGGTAAAGATTTACCCTGTAGGGTTTTCTTTGGACAATTTCAAAAACTTTTTTCACCTTTTTTTGTCAAATGTATCAAATCAAGTCTGATTTATGCCAGGAAGCTCAAATATATGTACTGTTACTGTAATTTCATTCAAAATGGTTGTTTGAGATTTATGTGCTAGTTTCAAGTTGGAATCACAAGTGTAATATTTGAGTGACTTTAAGGAGGGATATAAAAGAGTGGGTGCCTTCGAGTTCACTGGTTGAACTGTTTCAAAGGTGATATCGTTCACTGGGTGAAATGTTTCAAAGGTGATATCACTCACTGGATGAACTGTTTCAAAGGTGATATCATTCTATGGTTAAAATGTTCAAATGTGGTATCATTCTATGGTTAAAATTTTCAAATGTGGTATCATTCACTGGGTGAACTGTTTAAAACGTTAAAACCCTCACGAGTAGAACTGTTTCAAACGTGATATTGCTCACTAGGTGAACTGTTTCAAAGGTGATATCGCTCACTGGATGAACTGTTTCAAATGTGATATCTCTTACTGGGTGAACTGTTTCAAAAGTGATATCGGTCTATGTATGAACTGTTTCAAAGGTGATATCGCTCACTGGGTGAAATGTTTCAAAGGTGATATTGTTCACTGGGTGAACTGTTTAAAATGTGATATCGCTCACGGGGTGAACTGTTTCAAATGTGATATTGCTCACTGGGTGAACTGTTTCAAAGGTGATATCGGTCTATGTATGAACTGTTTCAAAGGTGATATAGCTCACTGGGTGAACTGTTTCAAAGGTGATATTGTTCTATGGTTGAAATGATTCAAAGGTGATATCGTTCACTGGGTGAAATGTTTCAAAGGTGATATCGTTCAATGGGTGAAATGTATCAAAAGGTCATATCATTCACTGGGTGAACTGTTTAAAACGTGATATCGCTCACTAGGTGAACTGTTTCAAACGTGATATTGCTCACTGGGTGAACTGTTTCGAATGTGATATCTCTTACTGGGTTAACTGTTTCAAAAGTGATATCGTTCTATGGTTGAAATGTTTCAAAGGTGATATCGTTCACTGGGTGAAATGTTTCAAAAGGTCATATCATTCACTGGGTGAACTGTTTAAAACGTGATATCGCTCACGAGGTGAACTGTTTCAAAGGTGATATCGCTCACTGGATGAACTGTTTCAAATGTGATATCGGTCTATGTATGAACTGTTTCAAAGGTGATATAGCTCACTGGGTGAACTGTTTCAAAGGTGATATTGTTCTATGGTTGAAATGATTCAAAGGTGATATCGTTCACTGGGTGAACTGTTTCAAAGGTGATATTGCTCACTGGATGAACTGTTTCAAATGTGATATCGGTCTATGTATGAACTGTTTCAAAAGTGATATCGTTCTATGGTTGAAATGTTTCAAAGGTGATATCGTTCACTGGGTGAAATGTTTCAAAAGGTCATATCATTCACTGGGTGAACTGTTTAAAACGTGATATCGCTCACGAGGTGAACTGTTTCAAAGGTGATATCGCTCACTGGATGAACTGTTTCAAATGTGATATCGGTCTATGTATGAACTGTTTCAAAGGTGATATAGCTCAATGGGTGAACTGTTTCAAAGGTGATATTGTTCTATGGTTGAAATGATTCAAAGGTGATATCGTTCACTGGGTGAACTGTTTCAAAGGTGATATTGCTCACTGGATGAACTGTTTCAAATGTGATATCGGTCTATGTATGAACTGTTTCAAATGTGATATCGGTCTATGTATGAACTGTTTCAAAGGTGATATTGTTCTATGGTTGAAATGATTCAAAGGTGATATCGTTCACTGGGTGAAATGTTTCAAAGGTGATACCGTTCACTGGGTGAAATGTTTCAAAAGGTCATATCATTCACTGGGTGAACTGTTTAAAACGTGATATCGCTCACGAGGTGAACTGTTTCAAACGTGATATTGCTCACTGGGTGAACTGTTTCAAAGGTGATATTGCTCACTGGGTGAACTGTTTCAAAGGTGATATCGCTCACTGGATGAACTGTTTCAAAAGGTCATATCATTCACTGGGTGAACTGTTTAAAACGTGATATCGCTCACGTGGTGAACTGTTTCAAACATGATATTGCTCACTGAGTGAACTGTTTCAAAGTGATATCGTTCACTGGTGAAATGTTTCAAAGGTGATTTCCTTCTCTGTATGAAATGTTCATTGTTTGAAAGACAAAGCAATATATTTAGTGTGGCAGCCTAGTGGTTGTGGGTCACCTCAGTGTCATGGGTAACAATCCACATCAGGGTACAAGGTACTGGGGAATCCTGACAGTGGGGTGCAAACATTGTAGCCATCGCTCCATGGAAGAATATATCACAAGCCATTGATGTAAGTGTTACATGTTTTTAATAGACAAAGAGACTGATATTTCAGCTTTCACATTTTGGCCATAGAACACTTGTTGCTACAACCTGCATAAACAGGTTAAAACACACTTCTTTATTTACAGTTTGCAATCTGAAAATTTCTAAACTGTCAAAATGGAGATGATAAACTTTCTATATATCTGAAAATGAAACTTCACACATACTGATTTCCCACAATTAGCTGAGCCACGTATAAACTCTGCGGGCTCTAGTTGTCTATGGAATGCCTACATCTGAACTCATTCATCAGATCCATAAATAATAAAAATGCTACTGGTAGTTGTACAAATTAAAGCTATAACAGGTTGAATTTGAATAATCACAATCACTGCAAATACACATCTTCTTTTACTGATAGAATATACCTCTGACAACAAAAATACCAATACTGGACAATAGATTTTTTCTTCTTCAGATATTTGCCGTGACATTTATTCTTCATAAAACGGTCATCCAGGACAAAAGTGAGATCTGTTACTTGGTAAATAACAACAATATTTGTGGCATTCCCATCCCTTGCATATGCCTTTTCGAAAATGCTTCATTCACACAATATGACAAAAACTATATATTGCCCACTAATTTGACACATTATTCACTCAGGACAATTTTGAGCCTACTGCAGGGACCAACAGAAGCACCACTAATTCTGGCCACCTTGTCATTTAATGACCCTGCTGAACATCTGGGAAAAAAAGACTCCATTTTCCATATGGCTGCCATAGCCACTGTAGTTTAAGAGATGTAAAATGTAAAAAATTATGGATAAAAAAAGGCAAAAAAAACTACATCTATTCAATATGGCCAGCATCGATTATTATTTTGCAAGCACTTTTTGAAACAATTGTTGGGACCTTATACTTAATATTCAGTGGTTTGGAGATGAATCAAGGTCAAAGGAAAGCACAAAACTCGAAAAAAAAAGAATTCTGCTGGCATTGCATATAAAATAATCACCAATAACAGGTTCAGAAGTAACCACTGCTGTTTCATACGCCTTATGACGGACAGATATGTTTTATGTTTCTTACGTCACTTAATGACTAATGTGGACCGATTTGCCATTTATTCACTTAGCTGCTCCTACAGTACTTATTGTCCAATTAATTTTCACTTTGGGCTTCTCTTTGAGATGCTGATGTTTCAGGCAACATATGACATTGTGGACAGAAAAAATACAAAAGAAAAAAACATCTATGCATGGTACATTTCAGATATATACATCAAACAACTGTGTATAATTCTGAGAATACTACCTCTCTTACATCACAGCCATAAATTCCTACATTTTTAGATTTTCAACAGACAGTTTTGAGGTAAACCCTATATACAGGTTTAAGGCTTAATTTGCACATTCTTTCCTGTGTGCTGGTGTCAACAGCTAATATTTGTTGATGTAATAGAGGTAGGGCATTCAAAGGAATTATAAACATATATGGTTATAAAAAAACATATTTGCTCATTGACATTTACACCAACTATTTATTGCACAGTTATACAAACAGTTTTGCAAGCTTCATCACCTTCGGGATCCACTGATGTTTATTTTACCAGAACATGAGATAAGCTGTTTCACAGTAAAGCAATTATAAAAAGCAAAAATATTTGAATTTTTGTGTGCATGGTCAGAATAATGATGTGTATTCACAAGATGAGATGATATATGTGCACTGTAAAGTTTGACTTTCAAAGTTGACCAGAAAAAACAGCTGTACATGATGTGACATGAAGACGCGGCTGGGTCATGACCTTGACCTCTAATCGTCATCAATACATATAACGTCCTTCTTCCCATTGACTTTGGCAGTTTCCAGTTTACTGTCCATCTTGCTGGGGCCACTTTCCTTCTTAGTCAGGTCCTCAGCTTGTCCAGTTGAACCTGCCAACAAACACCACCTGCATTCAAACCGTCAACATCTAAGTTTCACAAACCAAGTATCTCCAGTTTAAACTTGACTGTCTTTAGAGTTCATCCGCTCCAAACTGTACTGACATGGTGATTACTTAGTCAAAGCCCTTCTTATTTGCAAAGCGCACATTTTGATACACTCAAATCTTTTTAAAAACTGATCATTATCTTCTCACAGCTTGGTACTCTAAAAGTAAAAGTAAATGCTCCCAAATAGATGCAAATCAAGCAGATAATTTCAAACAAACATCTACTGCCCTTGTTTCGAACACAGCAAGTTCAAAATCTTTAGTGACACAAAACAACAGCCTACAATGCTTCCACAAAGGCCATTTTCAAGTGGAACCGGGTGTCAGCATGTGCCTACAACTTAAGTGCATTGTATTCGACCTCATTGACACACAGCACAATTAATAATAGGCTTTACAGACAAGTTCTTGTAGCATTGACAGGCTAATTAGAAATCAGCCCACTTGTGATGCAATAAGTAAACGATTTTCATCATCCAACTTGTGAATGCCCTATCCTGTGTGTTAATATAGTCGAATACAAGAATACATATCAACCAACCTAGCTCACTTTGAGGACTTTGATGGGGCATCTGTGGGGAAAGAAAAATATGTGATGAACATCTGTGAAGTTCTTGTGAAAGAAGTCTATTCTAGTTTTGAAAGTTCATTTTTCCAAAGGGCAAATTATCATGATCATAAGATTTAGGTCATTGGGAAAAAAGAAAATAATTACAGGCTCTCCTCCAAAATTGGTCTGCCATATTGAGCAATCTACATTTGCAGCAAAGGCAACCAGAAATACTCCAGTTTACTAGAACTCTTTATGAAAAACTCCAAGGGTGTGTGATCGCTATGAACAAAGATGACACTGTCTAGCATTGGAAACTAATGTTGTTGCAACTGTTCAAAATCCTTTGCAAGTGTGGTAAGTGTTTTGAAAATACTAAAGAGGGGAGATTTATTATTTGATCACAGGTCTGGCTCCACATGAAAATGGCCCAAGCTACAGTTTTATGATAACTTTGAATTATGCAACATGACAAATGAAGTAAACTTGTGACGACACGCCATAACTATACTGTCAGCCTTCGACAAACACGAAGCCACGTCTAAACAAAACACCAATCAGGAAGAAACATGCAAGTTGGGGATCAAAGAATTTGTCCTCATGTCCTAGCATTGGCAAGCAGCCATATTTGTTTGACCTTAAGTGCTCCATTCACTAATGTCTGCCAAATATTTAACCAATCCCATAAACACAAGGACAACTTCGTCGGTTGTAACTAGGAACTTTTGATCTAAGCAATAATTCAAACACACTGTCTGACATGAAACAATTTCAATCATATTGACTTGACAAACAAAACAAGTGGCAAACATTCACCATTTTGTTAATCACGTCAACTACATGGATGGTCAAGTGCAAGCAAAAACATTAAGAAAATATATATTTTAAAACATGAAACACAAGTTCTGAAAAAAGACTAACATCCATCGCAGATATGAATTGATGACATAACACTGCATAATGCACGACTTGTGTTCAGGCCAGACACTCAGAATTTAAGTAAAGGCCAGCAATTTCCAAAATGCTTTACAAGTTTTTTTCTGGCGTCAACACGGACACTAGATGACTGCAACAGGGTGGAACTACGAGCAATAGCCCATGCAGATACGAGTGTTACACAACATACGCAGTGGTAGAAACTGGTCCAAACCAGCTGGTGGCAGATTGTCCGGTTTCATCTGCCAAGAAAAGGGCTCAGCGGGCCCAAGAAAAGGATTGGGTGGATCAATAGGAACTGTTTGTGAGAGAGAATGAGATAAGGTGTTACAACGGGCCAGGACATGGGTTGGAGAGAATGAGATAAGGTGTTGCACGGGGGCAGGACATGAGTGAGTGAGTTGGGTTTAACGCCGCTTTTAACATTATTCAAGTTATATCACGGCGCGTCAGCTTAATGTGGGAGGAAAGCCCGAAGTGATGCAGGTCTCAGACGTTTACCATTTCGGTGAAACCCACGAGCACGGGCATGGTGCTGACAAACCTAGAAACATAATCGGGGTGAACCGGGATTCGAACCCACAATCATAGGTTTCTGGCGTGTCCAGGGGACGCAACTCTGCACAGCAAATTGTGGCGCATTAGACGACTGGGCCACCCATGCCCCCGGGTCCAGGACATGGGTTGTAGAAAATGAGATAAGGTGTTGCAGAGGGCCAATACGTGGGTTGGAGGGAATGAGATAAGGTGTTGCTGGGGCCAAGAAACGGGTGGAGAGATTAATATAAGGTGTGGCACGGGGCCAAGACATGGAACAGAGAGAATGAGAAAAGGTGTTGCACTAGCCAAGAAATGGGGCGGAGAGAATGAGATAAGGTATTGCAGGGGGCCAGGACATGGGTTGGAGAGAATGAGATAAGGTATTGCAGGGGGCCAGGACATGGGTATGAGAGAAGGAGATAAGTTGTTGCACAGGGAGATAAGGTTTAAACAGGGCGAAGACATGGGACAGAGTCTGACTTGAAATCAGGACATAGTTTCTGGTATTTGTAAATTATTAAGGGGTGATTCGAAAGTTATTCACAACACTCTCAACTTTATTGATCCGTACCTTTGTAAAATAATTATCACACTGAAACACAAATTTAAGATGTTGCACAATAACTGAAACTTCTTAGATTGCTCAAAAAGTTTGTTTAAAAACAGCAACTGTTATATTTCAACAAAAGCATGTGAGCCAGTGAAATACTGAAGCTGTATCTCGCGAGAGGGTTCTACCTGGTATAGGCTGAGTTTTTAGATCAAAAAGGAATTAAAAAACAAAACAAAAAAAGCTCATAATCAAAGCTTTTCAATTTGTTTTGTGAAAGACATATGTATGAACTTTGAGAAAGTTTAAAAATGTAAACAACCAATGATAGTGTTCAGCCACGTTTACAAAAACTTTGAAACACTTAAACAGTTAAATTTGATAAGTATAGAAGTAAATATGACTTCAAAGATTAAATCTTTACTTTTAACACAAAAATACCTCTGCTTGTCATGTGACCTCTCACTTCCGTGAAATGAATATCAAGCAATGCCAATAAGTCATAATCAAATGAGACAGTACAGGTAAAAGGGCGACGACTGTGAGATTTCCAGCTTTTCGAGTTAGTAAGATCTTTCGAACCTAGATATTCACTGTTAGTTATCTGTTAATTGAGCAGAGGCACGTCTGCTGTCACATTACTTAACTAGGCAGCATCATTGCATGGATTTGCAGTTGTCTTCAATGATTTGTCGGCCTAGCTAGATAAAACACACAGGTGATGTGCAATGTGTTCATATATCAGCTATACCCTGAGGTTGTCATTTTGTGGGACTGATCTTTCTCCAAGGCATTTCATTCAGGTAGTGTTTTCAAGGGTCAACCTATATCAGGTGTTGGCCAATACCCATCAATATACATATTCCATGTGTTTTGGTTTTGGCCAGTGTACACTTTCCCTGTGCAGAAAGTACCCGGGGTGTTCTCGATTACTAGGACCCTTCCATCCCAAATTACAGTTACTTGCTACATCGTCCTTGGGCGAAAGTTTTCTCTTGGTACACAATGCTGTGACTATAAACTTGATTCAGGGCACTGAAACATCACCTAATTTGTCTCAATCTGACACCATCTCAGCCTAAAAACGTGGAAGTTGAGGCACAGAGGGAGATATCAGACCTCCATTACTAAGAGAATCTGTGGTGGGAATTCACTGTACACTGCCACATCCAAGAACTACGAAGCAGCAGACCTTCTACATGCATCTACTCACCAGATGATGGGGCTGGGGAGCGATGGGAGGGGCTGGGCGTTGCCGATGGCAACCGTACACTCTGGCCACCAGGGACTGCACCTGTAGAGAATGGCAAAACTATATAGAAAGTTAGGTATATATGTGTGTCAGTGTGGGTAGCTGAAAAATTGAATACCTTGGTGCATTGTGAGCTTAACATTTGTTACCTTAAGTGAAATCTGGGTGCGAAGCCAAGTCAAGATCTTGCATCTGACCACAAAAAATCTAGTTTCCACCCATGCCGAACTACGCTGGCATTTTGTGACTTGATCGTAGCACCACCAGTGGCTATTACGAGTTATGAACATCCGACTGACCAATCAGATTCCATGCCCAGTCAAGACGATCTGATCGATAATCAAGATCTATATCGTAAAAAAACAGGTCTTACCTCACAAAGTGCATCAGATCATTTGAGCACCTTGATTAAAAACATGAAAAGATTTGCAAAATATCTGTCGATGTTTTTCAAATCCTGCAGTTGATGGAAATCTTTACATTGAAATCCATGTTGTTACGAACCAGATGTCTAGTTCGTGGCGCGATTTTGATTGGACTATGCATAGACTCATCAGTCCAGCCAAAATGTAACTCCGGAATTCCATCCTAGTTCGGCAAGAGTAGAAACTGGACTTTTACAGTCAGGTAACTCCCATGCCTCAGGATTATGAGATCTTGACAAGTGTGGAATTAAAAACTTTACAACCTGTAGCCTCACAGCATCAACAAGAAATTTCAATGTTTACCTTACAGTTACCATATTTTCTTGAGTATAGTCCACACTACCCCCCAAAACAAAACAAAAACACAGTTGTGTAGAAGGGGGTGCGCATTTACATGACATAATGAGTTTTGATGCCCCCCTCCCCTCAAAGAAAGACATTACCGTCAGCATGTAACACCGGAAATACCATGTCAACAAATCCATACTGAAGTACGCAAATTAATCATGTAATTACATTGTCTGGCTATAAAAAGTGTATATCTGGACTTATGTTTGTAACTTATTTCATTAATTTTATGCAATTTTTTTTTTAAATATTGATTTAATTAATTTCAGCGAAATCATGTGTGAAGCAATCGGAAGATAGCACAACTCACCATTTTTAACAACAACCACAAACTTTAGTTGACAGAGAATGGATACATATATCATAAATGCTATACTTTGACTTGTTATAGTTTGACAATTCTATGTCAACACGTAGTTCTCGCGATCAGGTGCACGGGAGCCTCGAAGGTGACTGGTCAAACTGCATGTGAAAAATAATAACCGGCAAAAGCGATCAGCTGCTACGCTTAGGGTTATCATTTTAAATATATTTAGAAAAAGCTGCAACTAAATTAACTGTAGATTCCAAGAAAATGTGTGTACAGCTGATTGCTGTTTCTGGCTTAGTTTACGAGAAAATATACAAGGTAATCTTAATCCCTGGGTGTAAAACAATGCCTAGCAGAACAAAAAATACAATTTAAACAGTAAATCAACATGTATGGTGATTTTTTATCTCAAATTTCAAATTAGTACTGACCAAGTTTCTCAGCACCTGTTCGTTTACTGAAATTCGCTGAAAGGGTACAGTTTAATTTTTCCCCCAAAAAATACTGAATCCGATAGAGAGGGGGGTGCACACTATACTCAAGAAAATACAGTATTCTGTAGCATGTGTGCCACAAAAAGGGCAACTTAATTAAACCTAACGCCCGATTCAACAAGATTCCATCTGTATGACAGTAGCCTGTAAATAATCCGGTCTGGACTAGACAATCCATCAGAGAATGACGACTCTTAAACTACCCAGTCACTGAACTTGATCCATGCCGCCTCATAACCATAGATGCCTAGGGACAAATCCTAAACAGGAAACTTGGGCCGACTTGAGTAACTTGACTAAGTACTTGAAACATACTTGAACAATGAGGTCAAAATGAGATGACCAGCTGCTGCCTTTAGCTTGACACTAGAATAACATTTTTTTTTGTTTCTGGTGAAGGTTCACCCAAACTCGCTTATTTCTTCAAGGCAACAATGGATCAATCTTAATTACTGCTCAGTTCACACTGATGAATCATTTTATAGGTACTATATTCAAAGTAGTTCTAATGATGGCAAATGTTATCACAATAACAAATTCAATATGAAATATATAATCAAATAAGGATTCCACACAAAAACAAATGTATCAAAATGTAAAACAAAAACATCCAAGGCCAGCTACTGCCGAAAATGTAGTGAACTCATTAAATTACTGACATTAATATTCAGCATATTAGGAAATCACTGCACAAAAAGCTGAAACAGAACAGCAGATGAAGTAGGATGAACTCTTTCACCAAATGCTTTTTTTAATCAAAATGAAAAGTTAAATTTAATGATCGCCAAAATAAATGAAATCATTCCAAAATGATGTGTTTCAAAATTGCACATTTTTTGTTTTTATGTCAAGAATTGTAAGTATAACTTAGCGTAATTACTTACTCAATAAAAAAAAAAAACACACCAAAAAAACATAAGCATTAAGGTAATCAAGAACATCGAAGTAAACATCACTTGAGGAAACAGTACCGGAAATGTAGTCTGTGATCTGCTTTACCCGACTAGGCTCAAGAATGTACAGAGAGCTTTTTTTACTGTATTCTAACAAAAAACATAACTATGAGTTAAATGTTGATTACATTGTGACTAAGTTTTCACGGTACTGTTTCCTCTCTTGGATCTATATCGGCCATCAAATGACAATGCTGACCTGGTAAAAGCGGCATCATGGGAAATCCCATGGGTCCTGAAAGTGAAAGTAGCCAAGGGTTTAATTCAGTTGTAACACATAGAATTTAAACTTGTTTCACTTGTGTTTGTACTGTATCACCTTGGAGAAATATTCGTATCAAACTGTCTTGTCACACAAATGGCATTGCAAATTAAGCAGCTACTTTTGAAGAATCACTGTTGTATTTACCATCTTACTTCAAAATGTAGAGAATGTTGTTTGAGCCTGTAAGTTATTTCATTGATATTATTTCTAAATAACATAAACTACAAAACTTATTTCATACTCTTTATATTAAATTGTCAGTATTTCTTTAACTTTATAAATTCCACTGAACGAAACATTTGAATTGATCTTTTCATTTACACATGCAGGAGTATAGAACGATGCCATCTAGCTGTGGTAACCGTATCTGTCTGCTTCTAATATAGGACTTTGATATTAACTTGTCACAACAGAGCTACAGGCTGTGCGATGGTGTTTTCCTAATAGATCCCCAATTCAAATCTGCAGCACACTTCAAATGCTTCAGCAAAGTACATGTATCATGATGTGAAGACAAATGCAACATGTTTCGCTTCCTAAGACACTTGTTTCAAATACGAGTACTTCTATTTAAGATTGTGCAACAATATATTTACCTATCAAGTTGGAAGCCGGACCGGTTAAGATTGCGTTCAGCAATGGTGGCCAACACTCCATACCCTCTATGATTTCAATCCGATTACTCAGAAAAATGCATGATCTCGTAAATGTAAGTACAAAATATATGACGGCAAGTGTCTTAGAAGAAAAACATTTTTGCAGTTTGCGATGTATTACGATTCACATACATCATGGCAGCATTGTTAGTGAGGTATGTTCCGATTAGGGAATCCATCAGGAAAACACCATGGAACAGCCATTCATATGGTTTAACGCCGCTTTTAGCAATATTCCAGCAATATCACGGCAGGGACATCAGTAATGGGCTTCACACATTGTACCCATGTCAGGAATAGAACCTGGGTCTTCGGCGTGACGAGCAAACGCTTTAATCACTAGGCTACCCGACCACCCCTGGAACAACCAGAAGTTGTGTCATGACAAGTCAATATCATGCCCGTTGACAGGGAGCAGCACAGAGGTATGCTTACTGCAGCTGGAAACCGTCATGCCTACACAGACACGGGTACAGAGATTCAACTAGGCTTGTTTGTACAGCAGAGTGCAGCAAATAAAACACTTATTTGTGTACTACCCATCTTCAAGCCAGACAAAGTCAACCAGCAAATTTACAAAGCAGTCCATACAAAATTAAATAAGCGAAACAAACCAAGTATATTAAGCGCTAGGACATCTAATATGCAGTGGTAGTAGCTGGATATCGAACGTTTGTGAACATTGAACTTTCTTTTCGGGGTATGAGCAGGGAAAATAGGGTAAAACCTCCAATGGGTTCCTGTGTTTTGGGGAAAACATTGACAAGTTTCATGTTGTTTTTATAGTTTTGTTTCACAAAAAGGGTTTTTGTTCTCATGCATTTTGAAAGCACCAGGAAAAGGTCATAATATAACAAATGTTGCTTAAGGCATGACCATGGCATCACGATTGTACAAATATATAGCAACCAAATTCAGTGACAAGCCAATCCTCATAATAAGCCAGTGATACGAACACATACTACTGTGAAGTAGGCTGAAAATAAGACAGAAGCTTAGTGACCCAGCTGTCATGCAAAGCTACTTATGACCACATGATTAATTATCTATCTCTCAATTATAAATTATAAAACAGTAGAAAAAGAATTGTCCAAGACAATTACAGACTTTTCTATTTCTGATCTTTTTGATATCAAATGCTTAAAGCATAGCTCTACAATTGAGATTTCAGAGGCACAAAAATTATTACAAATCATTCAGTCCTGATAGGCTTCCAAGAAGAGAAAGATTTTGTTATTGCACCAGCAGATAATAGTTCAAACAACTACGATATTATAAGTAAGGATGGCAAAAATGGCCAGATAATTGTTAGGCGAGGATCAAGAAGAGTTTGAGATGTAATTAATGCATAGTGGTCTAATGCACATGAATCTACTGAGGCAGCAAAGCACTAAGGATGAGAAACTGACTGGCTTGGAGACGAAACACTCCACATATCAGCAACCCCTATGCACTGTACTCAACCTGGAAGCAAGGTTTTTGATTAATTCTGACAACAGCCAAATCACGAGCGACAAGTATTAACACTGACTTTGTAAAAGGAGGCACCAAATATCCCAAGTAGTTTCAGAAAGTTCCCAAATATATCATTTCACATCCAAAACATGGATTGCTGTTTAAAATTTTAAACATTTGAATTTAATAAACATTAATTCTTTAATATACAATGCAGTGTCAACATTTGCCACTCATAAAATTTGTCAGTGCATATAAAATACATCCTGGACACAGTACAAAGCATGTGAAGCTTGCCGATTCTTACAACATGCCATGACAAGAAGTCTCCCCGCTACCAACCTTGGTTAAATGATGTAGGGGGGACACCAAACTGCGGTCGGAACCCTGCAAAACTGGAGTTAGAGTATGGTCCAAAGTTGCCTGCAGCTGCTGCTGCCATGAACTGGGAGGACACAGCTGCAGATGATGTAGCTGCGGAGGCTGAAGCAGAACTCGACCCACCAGAGAGTGTTGGTGTTGGAGGGCCCGTCGTGGAGGAAGGCGTGGCTTGATTAGGGTTGACCAATCGGTTCAGGATATTCCTCTCGGACATCTGTAGTCGCTGGGTGACCGGGGGCACGCGGGCAAGGGTGGCCGGCAGACGTGCCACGTCCTGTTTCATGTCACTCAACAGCTCCTCCAGCTGGTTTAGCACTGGAACATGTACAGACACATGGTACACATGGTACACACAGAATACACACACACACACACACACACACACACACACACACACACACACACACACACACACACACACACACACACACACACACACACACAGGAACAACATTTACACAACTGCTAACCTTCATAGCTTAGTCATGTTGACATAACATCACCAAATAAGTAGCCTTATAAATCAAAAGATTCATTTCCAGGACAACAATTTTGCTTTAAAAAATGTAAGGGGTTTGCAATAAATGCCTTTCAACAATACTGAAATCAAATGATTTCACATAATTATCTATATTTGCATAACTGAACAATCTTCAAGTTAACATCAGACACATTAAACCACAAGCTCACCAAGACACACTGAAACTGTTCAAGAGTGGGAGATGGGTTTAACGTTGCTTTAAACAGTATTCCAGTTCTATCACAGTGTGTCAGCTTGATGTGGGAGGAAAGCTTGAAGTGATGCCTGTCTCAGATGTTGAGCACTTTGGTGAAACCCATGAGCACAGGTTGGGTGCTGACAAACCAAGAAACATAATCGGGGCAAACCGAGATTCAGACCTACAATCATAGGTTTCTAGCATGCAACTCTGCACAACGAAATGCCACACATTAGATGATTGGGCCACTCGTGCCCCCTCAGAAGTATGAGGTACAAGGTTTGATGAAGGGCTTTGTCACCACAGCCAGCACAATGCTGTAATAAATGTGAATGTGATTTTGACATGATCCTTGCATACCTTTATGTAGCACAGCATTAGCAGGCTTGTTCCCACCCAGGGATTCTTTAGACAGATGCTGATGACTCTCAGCTAGACACTCAAGTTCAGCAAACCTGAAGTACAAGATATGAGAAATAAAGTACCACTGGAAGGTTGGAAAAAGTACCACTGGAAGGTTGGAAAAATATGCTGAACAAAAGAATTTAGGGATCATGAATACTTTTGGGGATATCTTTTTGTGGCGAAGTCTGAGCATAAAATTTCATAAAAATATCCCAAAATATTCATGATCTCTGATGACTATTTGTTCAGCATACATGTCGAAGTGCTAGTTTTACTTTACAACCCACAATTCAACAAATCTGTGACATGTAATATTCCATTCAAATGTTTTTCCATTATATTTATTGTCTGAGAATGAATGCCCCAACACAAAGTTTCCATTGTTATTCATGATCTACCATAAATAGATCACCGACTGAAAACAAACCAATGTAATGTCCAGACTTGAGTGAGTGAGTGAGCGAGTTGGGTTTTTACACAGCTTTTAGTAATATTCATCACGGCAGGGGTCACCCGAAATAGGTGCACACTTGGAACACTTGAGGTACACGTACAGGAGAGGTTAGCTACACTTGAGGTACCTTGCATTGAGTGCCATGGCAGGATGTGTGGGGTCCTGAGTGAGGTTGAGGTAAGCTGCACGTCTCAGTTGCTCCTCAATGACCAGGGCCTGTTCAAGGAGCTGCAGCAGAAAGTCCAACACATGGTTACTCATGCACTACATTCATATATTATATAGCATGCACAGCCAGTGAATGGAAAACAATGTCCGTGTCATAGCTGCAACTGTAAGTTCACAAATCTGAGGTTGGTTAACCAGTGGTTGTCGATATGAATTTTGTATATTTCAATATTCCAGCTTGATGATGGCCCTCTGTAAAGAATCGAATCTGGACCAGGCAAATCAGTGATTGACATCATGAGCATCGATCTATGCAATTGCAATACGATGACAGGCATCAACCAAGTTAGCAAGCCTGACAACCCGATCTCGTTAGTCGCCTCTTATGACAAGCATGGGTTGCTGAAGACCAATTCTAACCTGGAATCTTCACAGGACAGATAATATGAGTGACCGTCTGCATCTGCAAAACGAGTTAATGACATGAGAGAGTTCACATGGCATATCTACAACTAATGCTACACTCATACAAGTGACAACACCATACATAACATGCCACCTTGATTGAACTTGCCCAACAATCTTACCTTAAACCTCCTTGCAAGGAACTTGTTTTTGATCTCCAGGAAGTTTCCTTTGCCTTGTTCACTGATAAAAGGTTCATTGATGATCTGGAAGCGGGGATCATTCTGAATGTCCTGCCATCGACCATAACCAAATCTACAGGTGGTTAAGGGAAAACTCAACACTTTCAATTGAATTCCTGTTCATGAGGAAAGAAGAAAAGAATAAAACAAGTTTCAAAAATAGCTTCAAAGATCAGTATTTCTCAGTGTGCCTCAGATGACCATGTGACAAGTCTGTAACTGTAATTTAGACGATGCTGGTGCTTCTAAGAAAAACTGTCATGGTTCTGTGTGGTGTCAAATATAGATGAGATATTGAGACTTTAGACAGGTTTTCAGGACAATGTACAAGACCAGTTGCAACTACAACTGGAAACCTTCATGAATTAGCATCATGATCCTTGCCAAAGCAGTATGACAAATTTCAAAATTAAAATAAAACGTAATATTCGCCAGGAGAGGTGAAAATATCAACAAGGTCCTGTATATTACAATATGCCAAATGGCTTAAGTACATGAAAGGATACGTGACAATGCCTGCAAGAAGCCAGTAGTCGTGACGCCGATGCCAGACCTCATGTTCCCGCCCTGACTGCAGAGCTCGTTGTTCATTTGCCCAGAGTGTGTGCAGCTCCGTGAAGCCACCATCAGCAATATTAAACATAAACTTCTGGAACTGCTCATCACGTTTCTTCTCCTCCTCTGTGCGAGGTACAGATTCCTTCTTGGGTTCTACCTTCTCCTTCTCTTTCTCATCCTTCTCCCCCTTCTCTTTGTCTTCTTCAACTGCAACAATACAACCTTGATTGAGGATGTAGCCACACTGAGCCTGACTTGCAGAAGGACATACTGTCTGTCAAGTCTAAGACAAATCATTTCACAATTCATCTCCTGATAAGTGATAAGATTCTCAGGATAGTATTCAAGAAATGTGATTCCAAGCCTCACTCACCCTCTTTCTTTTCTTCCTTCTTCTCCTCATCCTTTTCTTCCTCTTTCTTAGGATCAGCCTCAGCTTCTTTCTTCTCCTCTCCATCTTCCTTCTTCTCCTCTGACTTCTCTGCTTTCTCTCCCTCCTTGGGGTCATCTTTCACCTTCTCAGCCTCAGCCTCAGGCTCAGGCTCAGCCTCAGCCCCTGCAATGATTACAAGAGATAGTCACATTCCTCTCATTCGTATAACAATGCTGAGAAATTGTTAAAGTGATTTTGAGAAAGCAATATTATACCAACATGATGGTTGCCTGCTAAGAAGGGGCTGAACATGAAACTAATGGTCGACAGCATGAACATCCTTCACACCATTAAAACTGGTGGGTCTTTTTTAGGGCGGTCTTCAAAGGCAGTCACCCATCCACCTACCCAATTACATGCAGCTCTTATGACAAATATGACGAACTGGGATACACATACGGGAATCGAAAGTTAATAGAAGTCCATTTTCAACAGTAACTAGAAGAAACATCAGCAAAAATGCCTGAAAAACTACAGGTTTTATGACGTCAAGTCCTTGTGAGTTTATTACTCTGCATGTGTCCCTACCTTCTGGCTTCTCCTCTTTTTTCTCGGTGGTATCCATGGCGACCTCCTCCTCCTCCTTAGGCTTCTCCTCGACTGTTGCCTCCTTGGGTTTCTCCTCGACAGCTTCCTCCTTCTTGTCAGTTTCCATGGGTTCTTCCTTCTTCACCTCCTCCTTCTCAGCCTCCTCCTTCTGCAAGGGAACATCATTCAGGGTTCGTAACACAAGGCTATTTTAGTTGAGTTATAAGTCAATATAATTTTTTAATCCAGCATACTAAGCAGACCAAAAAAGCAGAATACACCTCACAAATTGACTTCTTCATGGTCTTTGGCACACAAATCTGTCACTGTTACACTTTAACCTTAACAAGTAAATGTATATGTCATCTTGTACGCATTTAAGGCTTTTCAAGCTACATTGGTGATTTTCAAGGCTCTTCAAGGTTGACACTAAAATTCAAGGCTTTTAAAGAGGGACCTTAAAGAATGAGGGCCTGCATGGACCTTGTCTCATTACACTGATGCATCTCAGTCATGTTTTAGCCCTCCTACAGAGAATCTGTGTTCACTGAACTGAGTTGGCTGTTACTGCACATGCCAAATGCATGGATCAACAACATACCTCTTCACCCTCTTCCTTCTTGTCCTGAGTATCCTTCTCTTTCTCTTCATCTTCTCCTTCCTTCACCTTGTCAGGTTTGTCTTCTTCCATTTTTTCCTCCTTGTCGTCAGTTTTCTCATCCTTCTCTCCTTCTTTGGTTTCCTTCTTCACCTCCTCTTTACCGTCCTCCTTTTTCTCTTCCTTCACCTCCTTGTCATCCTTCTCTGGGGCTGGTGATGCAGCTGCTGCTGCTGCTGCTGCAGCAGCCGCAGCCGCCGCTGCCGCTGCTGCTAGAGCAGCCTCCTTCTTCATTCTTTCAACAGCATCCTCGGCCTTCACATATGGCATGCTGTGTGTTCCATTGATTGCTTCAAATTCTTGAATCTGCATAGGAGGATAAATTTGATGTGACATTTTCCAGTGACAAAAAAATGCTTTTTTAGGCACTAAAGTATTTTATTCTATTATTAATTCATAATTGACTGCCTTTTCAGTATAATGTTACTCCAAACAATGGGAATATCATATGCATGGATAATGTTTCCCTTTAAAAACTGCAAAGACAACAGGTCATAGTGCAAAACTGTTGACGGAGGACTTGTAACTCCATGTAATTAAAGCATTAAATTGACACAGTAGTTCTTACATAAAATTTAGTGGTTATTAACTGGTTAAAGAATTGAAATACCTTTTTCCTAACAAGAGACATGATTCCAATTCGTGTGAGCACATGTTGTCGAGACAGACCCTCCCTTGGCACGCCGTCAGCGAAGGTTTCAGAGTTATCTGCTCCTGGTTCACAGAGATGCCGCATGAAGAGGGAGACATAGGCCTTGAATACTTTCTCGGATTTCCCACGGAGATCTCGGACCAACCTGAAAACATCGGAATGGCTAAAAAAACTTCTGAATGAATCACTTGGATAAGCAACATAGACAAAACAACATAACTTCATGCAAACAAAATACAAAAAGCATAAACAGCTGTGGTGGTGCAGGTAACAGATTAATTTAAAATGACAGTACCATGAGATTTTATAGTGTGATGACAGACAAATGCAGGATTTATGGATATGATGCAACAGAGATAGGGTATTCACAAGAATTATATTCATTAAAAATGCCAGCATATATGAGAACATTTCTGTAGCTTGAGAAAGCAATTATAAAAGATGTAACTGAGGTAAACAAATTGAGAATACAAATTACAAATTGACATAAGTTACGAAACTACCCATAAAGAAGTTTGAGTGATGAAAAATACAGTGTGGATCAATGTCCAGGCTACAACTTACCACTGAGAGTTGAATGCATCTTGAGGCGGCATGCCCCATCTCATTACTGCATTGAGGAAAGCTTTCCTCTGTCGAGCATTGAAACCAAGCACCTGAAGAGAACAATATGTTGATTCAATGATATCTGAATGCAGGAATAAGATGAACCAGAATTTCTGTTGGCATGTCTGTTCCCTATTACACCATATGTTCTTGAAGTAGAATATTCCAGTAAAGCATCAACAACCATATAAGATAGGTTGTTGGATGGCTCAAGCCAAAACTGAATTGCAAAACACAAAATTTAATGTTTTTCAGCTTTAAGATGGGAAAGAGATAAATAACAATACTTGCAAACTGATATCAAAACTCGAAGTGATAAGCTCTTCAATGATCAACTCATGTTATTTTAATATGAATCTATCTAATCCAAGGAATAATGTTTCATAGAAAGGACAAGCCGCCTCTCTTATCTATCCTCCATTACAATATCTGAAATTCAGAGCTGAATATGAATCTGAACAATTTGTGCAAACCCAAAGGATACCAACAGTTTCATCATCTATGCAGTTTCATTTTCCCAGAAGAATTACAAACTATGTCCTGCAATGCCTTATAGACAGAAGAAACTCTTCTTTCCTATCCCTAAAGTAAGCACTTTTGTTCTAGTCTTCCACAGAGAAGAGAAAGATATGCAACCAATTTCCTGTACGGGAAGACACACTTTTGTTACTTTTGTACGTGTGTGTGTTGTTGTTGTTTGGTGTCTATTGTCACACTCAATATTCCAGCAAAATGACGGCGGTCTGTAATTTATATGTAAATAATCGTGTGGACCAGACAATCCAGTGATTGACATCATGAGCAATGATCTACGCAACTGAGTTACAATGACATGCATCAATCACGTCCCGATCCCGTTAGTCGCCTCTTACAACAATAAAAGAAGACCAGATCTTCACGGGTCACTTTTGTTACTGATTGGCCATGATGTGATTGGCAACAGATGTAATATTTCAGTTATATCTTTGTGGCCTTTAAATAACAGGCCTTAGCCAGGCGAACATTCTGGATCCTCATTTTATTTAATCTTTTCAAGCCTGGACACTGTGGAACCATTCTGCCCCATTGACATTATATTTACCTCAATCTGTCCATTGACACGAGCCAATAGTGGTGGTAGCGGTCTATCTTTCTCATTGCCTCGCTTGTTGCGCCCTCGCACTGCAACACAAACAGTAATGTTACAGCTCATCACTAACTTGTTTGTCATGGCATATTTAAGAGGCAAATCACCATTTAGCAAAAGAAAAAATGAAACAACCCTCACCTTCAGGTTTGTCTTCAAAGTCATCATCATCCTCTTCGTTGTCTGAAACATTATGAAGCCTTCATTTAAACACGTGATGAGAATCTGACATTCTAACAACTCACTAGATTCATCTCAATATGAAGGTCGAGAAAAACAATCTAATGAAAAGAGTGAGTGAACATTAATGTAGCTTTATCAAGGTTCACACAGATATGGAACACTAAACTCCAGGCCTTTTCAAGGCTTTCAACTGTTAATTTCAAGGCTATTTGGTTGGCCTTAGTCTGTCAATGTTTTTAAATTCAGCAAACTATACATTAATCACAAGACCCAAAAAAAGCAGTATGAACATCACAAATTTTCAAACAAGATATATTTTCACAACTAACAGATAAAATAAATTGAGATTGTCAAGAATGTTCATACTTCTAATGACACATACGTCATTTTATACAAAATCAAGGCTTTCCAAGCTATTTTGGTGATTTTTCAAGTCTTTTTAAGGTTGGCACTAAAAATCAAGGCTTTTCAAGAGGGACCTTAACTTCAAGGCCTATCCAAGCTGGTATGACCATTGTTTATATGACAAAGGATTTCCTTTAACCTTATGCTTTATCAGCTCAATACAGTAAAGTGAGCCAAACAAGATGCTATGACAAGTAACAAGTGTAGCAGTACTTACTAAAGTCGGAGTCAAAGTCGGACATGCTCTCCTTCCATGCTTCATCCTCCTGGCCATTCATGGCGTCGTTGTAGTTGACCTGTTTGCGGACTCTCTTCCCCTTGCCGAGGGTGCGGGCCATGTCCTCCTGCTGCTGCTCATAGTGGTGGCGTAGTAGCTTCTCCCAGTATGCGGGGTCTGCATGCTCAGCCTCCTGCTTCAGGACCTCCATCTCTGTCTCATCCTGCACACAATAGCTTGAGTCAAATGTTTGTGGTTTAACGCTGAACCCAGCAATATTCTAGTAAGGTGAAATTGGGTTTAACGTCGCGTCCAAGATTATTGCACTTATATAGCGACGTGCATGCACGTGTATGTGTGTGTGTGGCTGCTTGTACTAGTCCGGACTGATGCCGATTTATAGTGCTAGCTCACTGAGATACCATGCCGCAGTTTAACATGAATACCCCACTCAGACACAGTATACTGACTCCGAGCCGACCAGTCCTTGTTTTAGCCCCTTAATGCCGAGCGCCAGACAGGGTAACAACAAGTACAATCTTTTAACGTCTTTTTGTATGACGCGGCCCGGGATCGAACCCTGGACCTTCTGCTCTCCGGGCGGACGCTCTACCACAAGACCACGGAGGCGGTCCAATATTCTAGTAACAGCAGCATGTAAATAACCAAGTCTGGGTCAGACAATCCAGTGATTGATATATTGTGAGCAACGATCCAAGCCATTTAGTCACCAAGCCTGATCACCAGATTCATTTAGTCGCCTCTTGGGGACCAATAATTACCTGGAATCCCCACTCTGACATTCAGTGAGTGAATACGGTTTTACACCACAGTCAGCAATATAACAGCTATATAATGGTGGCAGTCAACAATATTCCAGCTATATAATGGTGGCGGTCAGCAACATTCCAGCTAGCTCAGGTCAGGATTCAGTTCAGAAATGTCCTGCAATGCCTTATAGACAGAAGAAACTCAACTCTTCTATCCCTAATGTTTGCAGTTTTGCTCTAGTCTTCCTCAGAGAAGAAAAAGATGAGTTATCAATTTCCTGTATGGGAGACATGATTTTGTTAGTAATAGCTCCAGCACATCATTACAAGGGACAAAAGGCAGTTAATTACCCTGCTTTCCCAGGAGAACATGTACACAAGACAGACTGACAAAACATCTGGACTCTTCCAGGACTTGATGTGGCGACTGCTACTATCAGGCTGACTAGTGGCATCGAGTGTGGCACCAAGTGTGGCTCAGACTCACCTCCTCCTCTCCCTCCTTGACCTGATAGCTGGCCACCTTGAAGGAACTCAGGTACTCATTCATGGCCATCTCCTTTTCTTCCTGTCCCTCCTGGGTTCGATCCAGCAGCCGTGACAATGCCGCGTCATCGTAGACGATACGATCATCACCTGTTGAGGAAGATGTGTTTTAGGCAACAAATCTAAGTAAATGCTACCTCTGTACTGACCTTATCTCGGTTAGCTGCACATAACACAGACAATCACTAGGATATCATTTTAATACATTTTTTCTGGGATGAGATTTGGAATGGGTTGATAAGAGATGAGGTGAGATCTAATGTGGCATTCTAGATTATTGCACTCGCATGGCGATGAGTATGCACATGTGGGTGTCAGTGTGTGTGTGGCTACTTGTACTAGTCCAGACTAATGATGGTTTCATAGTGCTAGCCCACTGACATACCATACCACAGTTAAACATGGATACCCTACACAGACACAGTATACACTTGACTCCAAGACTTGACCTCCTCACCCTTTTCTTCTTCCTTGAAGAGCTCCTCCGTACCAAACTTGAGAATGTCATCAAGCTCTTTCTTGGACATAGTTGTGCTCTTGTTGCCGAGGCCAGGTCGGACAACCAAGTGGGTCAACATCATCTTCTTCTTGGCCACCTGTGTTATCCTCTCCTCCACAGACGCTCTGGTCACGAAGCGGTAGATCATCACCTTGTTGGCTTGCCCGATTCGGTGAGCTCGACTGAAAGCCTGAAACAAGTCACTGTACACATCATGTTTCAGTTTTCCATGTTTGTTAATGTATTCAGCAAATGACAATTTACAGCAATCAAAACGGAAACAAAAGCAAAAATAGCAAGCAGCAGGTGATTCCAGTCTCGAGGAAGTTAAACTAGACATCGATAGAAACAAATATTTTTAGACCATGAAGCCTTTTAATGACAACATATAGCAAAACCCTTAAAAATGGCAACTTTTTACTAATTCTTGTGATGTTAACTATTGGGCAGTAGTTTCTATATCTGTTAGCCCTGAACTGATTTTTTAAGGAAGCTGAGTTTTCGATTGGTGGTTGGAACAAGTCTTCACTTGACTTGCTACTAAAATGTGTACTAAATGGCCACATATGGTAAAACTTGCCTGAATATCATTGTGAGGGTTCCAATCTGAGTCGTAGATGATGACGGTGTCGGCTGTTGCCAGGTTGATACCAAGACCACCCGCCCTGGTGGACAGCAGGAAGCAGAAGGCGAGGGCCCCAGTGGCTGTATAGCAAGATGAAAACTGCTGTGAAGTCATAGGTCACTTCACCCATCATAAATACTTAGGAACGAATAACTGTGCATTATGACACAAAGGGTTTGATCGTCATGTCATAACAGAAGTTAACTATCTGCAGTTATATGAGCTTTGTTGTTTACGTCGCACTCAGCAATATTCCATCTCTTTGATGACCAGACAATCCAGTGATTGACATCATGAGCATCAATCTACGCAATTTGGACACAATGACATGGATCAAAGCAAGTCAGTGAGCCTGACCACTTGATCCCGTTAGTCGCCTCTTACAACAAGGATTGCTGATGACCTATTCCGACCCACGGGTGGCTTTATGAGTTATCTTGCCTATCTGTAACTATTCTGCTGAAGACTGACTCACATACCATTAAACCGGTCTATAGCATCCTGCCTGAGTGAGCCTGTCACACCTCCGTCTATCCTCTCATACTTGTAGCCCTCCGCCTCCATGAAGTCCTCCAAAATGTCCAACATCTTGGTCATCTGAAAAACAACCCATTTCCACTGATTCTCATCTCAATGTTATCAACAGCAATTCTTCGGATTGGACTGGTTGTAAGAGGGGTTTTGGTAGCATAAAAAATACACCGGCATTTTTCACTTCTCAATAGTTAAACGTCAATTCTATGGCCTGTGTCTTACCTGGGAGAAGATGAGCACTCTGTGGCCTGTATCTTTGAGTTTCCTCATCATCTTACACAGCAGCTCCAGTTTTCCACACGACCTGATGAGAGACTGACCCTCAAAGGCACCATTGGGGAACTTAGGAGCTTCCTGAAACATAGTAATAATTGCTTCTTGGTAAACTGCAGTTGCAGCAATATCACACACGCCTACTGCCAACACCTTGACCTATACTGTCCACTCCACAAGCAGCCTCAGATATTTCAAACTATGACATTGTGTCTTTGGTTGGTTGGTTTGTTGTTTAACGCCACACTCAGCAATATTCCAGCTATATGACGGTGGTCTGTAAATAATTGATCCTGGACCAGACAACCGAGTGATTAATATCATGAGTATCGATCCACGCAATTGGTGATCAATGACATGCATCACTCAAGTCAGCAGGTCTGACCATCCAATCCCATTAGTCGCCTCTTACGACAAGCATAGTCACCTTTTACGGCAAGCATGGGTTGCTGAAGACCTATTCTACCCCGGATCTTCACGGGTCGACATTGAGACGTATACCTTGGGCACAGCGGGGAAGACTGTCTATCATGACAGTGACACATACCATGGCAACAGTGGGGAAGACTACCTATCGTTACAGTGTGACATACCATGGCAGCAGTAGGGAAGACTACCTATCGTTACAGTGTGACATACCATGGCAGCAGTAGGGAAGAGATAGGGGTGGTTGCAGCACTTCTTCAAGTCCATCATAATGTTGAGGAGTGACACCTGGGTCCCACCTTTGGTATTCAACGCATCAAAGTTTCTTGTCAAGATGTACTTGTAGTATTTCCTGTAAATACACACAAAATCTTGCTAACACTTCACAACGCAAATAATCTTCTGTGAGCCAATAGAATTATGTTTATGATTTTCTAGCATTAGAAATTAAAGGGGTCAGGTCAAGTCCTGGAATTTAGGTATCCCTAAAATGTGTTACTTTTGGCTGTAGACCCCTAATCTTTCTTGCTTACTTTCACCGTTTTCCTATTGTTTTTGTTTGTTTGTTGTTTAACGCTGCACTCGGCAATATTCCAGCTATATGATGGCGGTAAATAATCAAATCTGGACCAGACAATCCATTGATTGACATCATGAGCATCAATCCACACAATTTGGATACAATGACATGCATCAACCAAGCCGACGAGCCTGACCACCCGATCCCGTTAGTCACCTCTTGCGACAAGCATAGTCGACTTTTACAGCAAGACCTATTCCAACCCGGATCTTCACGGGTGAAGAACTCCAGTGAAGAACTATTGACTGAAGAGCCAGGTCAGACATTGTAAATACTGATACCCATTTAGTTTGTTTGTTTTTTAATGCTGCACTGAGCAATATTCCAGCTATATGACAGCGGTATTTGAGTCTGGACCAGGACAATCCACTGATAAACAATCGGGATACGATAACATGTATCAACCAAGATACTGAACCTGACAGAGAGCCAATGTTTGTTGTTTAACACTGCACTCAGCAATATTCCAGCTATATGACGGCGGTCTGTAAATAATTCAATCTGGACCTGGAAATCCAGTGACTGACATGAACTTTGACCTATGCAACTGGGATATGATGAAATGGATCAACCAAGACCATAAGTCTTGACCACCCAATCCTGTTAGTCGCCTCTTACGACAAGCATGTGTTGTTGAAGACCAATTCTAACCCTGATCTTCACAGGTCCAGAGTCAATGAAAGAAATACGTGTCTTCAGACATTCTTACTTCTGCATTGGACTGAGCTCCACCCTGACAATGAATTCACTCTTGGATGGTATTCCCTTCAGGACATCAGCCTTGAGACGTCGGAGCAGATGTGGACCCAACAGGTCATGCAACTTCTTCACCTGATCCTCCTTCGAGATGTCAGCAAACTCATCAAGGAAGCCTTGAAGATCACTATAAAACATATTGCACAATAAATTACTTAGATGTTAAATATGAAACAAATGTTCCCTACCTTTTATCAAATGACACAAGGGACACGAACACTATTTAAGAAAACAGTATTTCACCCTCTTGCTAAACAGGTAAAGGAACAACCGGGCCTTGTAATTGACTCACTTGAAGTTCTCTGGTGTGAGGAAGTTGAGGAGATGGAACAGTTCCTCCAGGTTGTTCTGCAGAGGAGTTCCTGTCAACAGCAGCTTGTACCCAATCTTGTAGGAACTCAAGATACGGAAAAACTGAAAGACAAACACAAACATCAACATCCAAAAAATCAAAAACAAATAAATGCAGCCATTATCCTCTGAAAGACAAGAAATGGACAATTTTAAAGAGAACTTGGCTGCATACATAAATTTCAAGCAAACACTCAAGAGAATTCTTCATCAGACTTCTTTGAAAGTTTTTTTTTTACATGAGTGAGTGAGTGATCGGGTTGGGTTAAATGTTGCCCTGACCAATATACCAGTTATATCACGGCATGTCAGCTTGAAGTGGGAAGAAAGCTTAAGTGATGCAAGTCATTTACAACTTTGGTGAAACCCACAAGCACGGGTATGGAGCTACCACGATCATAGGTTTCTGGTGTGCCCAAGGGAAGCAAGCCTTAGACAACTGGGCCACCCGTGCCCCCATTTTTCAAACTGACATACATTACTCAAATTTATGGACATTGTCCTTAAAGTGGCCACTAATTGTTTACTTCAGCTCCTCTCACCTTTGACTGGTTGTTCTTGAGTCTGTGAGCCTCATCAACAACTAGCACAGCCCAGCCAATGGAGCCCAGTGTAGCACTATCAATCGATATCAATTCATAAGATGTGAGCAGCACATGGAACTTGATGGCACATCCCTCCCTCACTTTTGAGGCTTTAGCTCCACCACGTATAGCACCTTCATCAAATGAAAACTCATGTTCTCTGAAACAAAAAAACACTGATGTATATTTGCTCCTTTGGATGTCAATACTTATTTGAACTGTGTAATTTTCTAGTTTCTTACTGGAGGTGGGAATCCACAGGTAGCTACTAATGGTCCACTATAGTATTTTGTGTGAACAGTGCAACACATGTCAAAATCCTAAATATCAACTTTTTACTGGGTACACTATCTTGTTTTCTCTTACTGTTAAAGCTTACATTATTCAGCTTTGGATTCCAATGTGGATTTTAACAATTCTATCACAATGTATTTAAATCCAGCGAAACATGTCAAGTCTCCACTCACCTGATAACCATACGACTGTCCTTGTCGCCAACGTAAGTGACAACATACATCTCAGGTGCCCAGAACTCAAACTCTCTCTCCCAGTTGATGATAGTCGACAGAGGAGCACTAACCAAGAACGGGCCTTTAGAATGTCCCTACAATAAGAACTGGATATCAGCCATGTTACCCTAACACATTCTACAATTCATATGTGCCTATCTTCAACAAGTTATACAGGTCATGGACGTCCAACACTTTGACAAATCCCATGAACACTATATGATACTGTTAGGGCATTCCAAATTAAAAATATTTCTATACAGAAACAAACCCCTGAAATAATTTCATTTTCAAATATAATCTTGCATCATGTGCACTAGGAAAAGAAAAGTAGATCACAGCTCAAAATACAGTGGCTAACATGAACACATTGGCGTCTCCTGAACACACCCAAAGTAATAGGAAATTACTGACCTCCTTGAAGAGTGAGTAGAGGAAGGAGATGGTCTGAATGGTCTTGCCGAGGCCCATCTCGTCAGCCAAGATGGTGTCGGTTCCGTTCTGCCAGGAGAAGCGGAGCCAGTTGAGCCCTTCCAGTTGGTAGGGGTGGAGCGTGCCGCCCGTGGCTTCGATGTATTCAGGTTGTGTATCAAACTTCTTGCGCAACTGAGATCACAACATAGACACTCTAATTTATGTCAATATTTCAAGACAAGTGTTTGCAATCACTCAAGCTGAAGCAAGCTACACACACAATGAATTTAACATGAAGTGCAAATTGAATTTCGAAATTTGAGTCTGAATCATGCTTGGGAGCCAGAAAGTGATTTGACACATACCGTTGACAGTTGATGAAGGGACACAAGAAGCATAATGACGTGTGACATGGACATGAAGTGATGTGTGACAGGAGAATTGTAGTGATGATGTGTGACAGGGAATTGTAGTGATGATGTGTGACAAGAGAATTGTAGTGATGATGTGTTACATGGACATGAAGTGATGTGTGACAGGGAATTGTAGTGATGATGAGTGACAGGAGAATTGTAGTGATGAGGTGTGCCGTGGACATGAAGTGATGTGTGACAGGGAATTGTAGTGATGATGTGTGACGTGGACATGAAGTGATGTGTGACAGGGAATTGTAGTGATGATGTGTGACATGGACATGAAGTGATGTGTGACAGGGAATTGTAGTGATGATGTGTGACAGGAGAATTGTAGTGGTGATGTGTGACAGGAGAATTGTAGTGATGATGTGTGACGTGGACATGAAGTGATGTGTGACAGGGAATTGTAGTGATGATGTGTGACATGGACATGAAGTGATGTGTGACAGGGAATTGTAGTGATGATGTGTGACAGGAGAATTGTAGTGATGATGTGTGACAAGAGAATTGTAGTGGTGATGTGTGACGTGGACATGAAGTGATGTGTGACAGGGAATTGTAGTGATGATGTGTGACAGGAGAATTGTAGTGATGATGTGTGACAAGAGAATTGTAGTGATGATGTGTTACATGGACATGAAGTGATGTGTGACAGGGAATTGTAGTGATGATGAGTGACAGGAGAATTGTAGTGATGAGGTGTGCCGTGGACATGAAGTGATGTGTGACAGGGAATTGTAGTGATGATGTGTGACGTGGACATGAAGTGATGTGTGACAGGGAATTGTAGTGATGATGTGTGACATGGACATGAAGTGATGTGTGACAGGGAATTGTAGTGATGATGTGTGACAGGAGAATTGTAGTGGTGATGTGTGACAGGAGAATTGTAGTGATGATGTGTGATGTGGACATGAAGTGATGTGTGACAGGAGAATTGTAGTGGTGATGTGTGACAGGAGAATTGTAGTGATGATGTGTGATGTGGACATGAAGTGATGTGTGACAGGGAATTGTAGTGGTGATGTGTGACAGGAGAATTGTAGTGGTGATGTGTGACAGGAGAATTGTAGTGGTGATGTGTGACGTGGACATGAAGTGATGTGTGACAGGGAATTGTAGTGATGATGTGTGATGTGGACATGAAGTGATGTGTGACAGGGAATTGTAGTGGTGATGTGTGACAGAAGAATTGTAGTGATGATGTGTGATGTGGACATGAAGTGATGTGTGACAGGGAATTGTAGTGGTGATGTGTGACAGGAGAATTGTAGTGATGATGTGTGACGTGGACATGAAGTGATGTGTGACAGGGAATTGTAGTGGTGATGTGTGACAGGAGAATTGTAGTGATGAGGTGTGACAGGGAATTGTAGTGATGATGTGTGACAGGGAATTGTAGTGGTGATGTGTGACATGGACATGAAGTGATGTGTGACAGGGAATTGTAGTGGTGATGTGTGACAGGAGAATTGTAGTGATGAGGTGTGCCGTGGACATGAAGTGATGTGTGACAGGGAATTGTAGTGGTGATGTGTGACAGGAGAATTGTAGTGATGATGTGTGACAGGGAATTGTAGTGGTGATGTGTGACAGGAGAATTGTAGTGATGATGTGTGACAAGAGAATTGTAGTGATGATGTGTTACATGGACATGAAGTGATGTGTGACAGGGAATTGTAGTGATGATGTGTGACAAGAGAATTGTAGTGATGATGTGTGACAAGAGAATTGTAGTGATGATGTGTTACATGGACATGAAGTGATGTGTGACAGGGAATTGTAGTGATGATGAGTGACAGGAGAATTGTAGTGATGAGGTGTGCCGTGGACATGAAGTGATGTGTGACAGGGAATTGTAGTGATGATGTGTGACGTGGACATGAAGTGATGTGTGACAGGGAATTGTAGTGATGATGTGTGACATGGACATGAAGTGATGTGTGACAGGGAATTGTAGTGATGATGTGTGACAGGAGAATTGTAGTGGTGATGTGTGACAGGAGAATTGTAGTGATGATGTGTGACGTGGACATGAAGTGATGTGTGACAGGGAATTGTAGTGATGATGTGTGACATGGACATGAAGTGATGTGTGACAGGGAATTGTAGTGATGATGTGTGACAGGAGAATTGTAGTGATGATGTGTGACAAGAGAATTGTAGTGGTGATGTGTGACGTGGACATGAAGTGATGTGTGACAGGGAATTGTAGTGATGATGTGTGACAGGAGAATTGTAGTGGTGATGTGTGACGTGGACATGAAGTGATGTGTGACAGGGAATTGTAGTGATGATGAGTGACAGGAGAATTGTAGTGATGAGGTGTGCCGTGGACATGAAGTGATGTGTGACAGGGAATTGTAGTGATGATGTGTGACGTGGACATGAAGTGATGTGTGACAGGGAATTGTAGTGATGATGTGTGACATGGACATGAAGTGATGTGTGACAGGGAATTGTAGTGATGATGTGTGACAGGAGAATTGTAGTGGTGATGTGTGACAGGAGAATTGTAGTGATGATGTGTGATGTGGACATGAAGTGATGTGTGACAGGAGAATTGTAGTGGTGATGTGTGACAGGAGAATTGTAGTGATGATGTGTGATGTGGACATGAAGTGATGTGTGACAGGGAATTGTAGTGGTGATGTGTGACAGGAGAATTGTAGTGGTGATGTGTGACAGGAGAATTGTAGTGGTGATGTGTGACGTGGACATGAAGTGATGTGTGACAGGGAATTGTAGTGATGATGTGTGATGTGGACATGAAGTGATGTGTGACAGGGAATTGTAGTGGTGATGTGTGACAGAAGAATTGTAGTGATGATGTGTGATGTGGACATGAAGTGATGTGTGACAGGGAATTGTAGTGGTGATGTGTGACAGGAGAATTGTAGTGATGATGTGTGACGTGGACATGAAGTGATGTGTGACAGGGAATTGTAGTGGTGATGTGTGACAGGAGAATTGTAGTGATGAGGTGTGACAGGGAATTGTAGTGATGATGTGTGACAGGGAATTGTAGTGGTGATGTGTGACGTGGACATGAAGTGATGTGTGACAGGAGCATTGTAGTGATGATGTGTGACATGGACATGAAGTGATGTGTGACAGGGAATTGTAGTGGTGATGTGTGACAGGAGAATTGTAGTGATGAGGTGTGCCGTGGACATGAAGTGATGTGTGACAGGGAATTGTAGTGGTGATGTGTGACAGGAGAATTGTAGTGATGATGTGTGACAGGGAATTGTAGTGGTGATGTGTGACAGGAGAATTGTAGTGATGATGTGTGACAAGAGAATTGTAGTGATGATGTGTTACATGGACATGAAGTGATGTGTGACAGGGAATTGTAGTGATGATGTGTGACAAGAGAATTGTAGTGATGATGTGTGACAAGAGAATTGTAGTGATGATGTGTTACATGGACATGAAGTGATGTGTGACAGGGAATTGTAGTGATGATGAGTGACAGGAGAATTGTAGTGATGAGGTGTGCCGTGGACATGAAGTGATGTGTGACAGGGAATTGTAGTGATGATGTGTGACGTGGACATGAAGTGATGTGTGACAGGGAATTGTAGTGATGATGTGTGACATGGACATGAAGTGATGTGTGACAGGGAATTGTAGTGATGATGTGTGACAGGAGAATTGTAGTGGTGATGTGTGACAGGAGAATTGTAGTGATGATGTGTGACGTGGACATGAAGTGATGTGTGACAGGGAATTGTAGTGATGATGTGTGACATGGACATGAAGTGATGTGTGACAGGGAATTGTAGTGATGATGTGTGACAGGAGAATTGTAGTGATGATGTGTGACAAGAGAATTGTAGTGGTGATGTGTGACGTGGACATGAAGTGATGTGTGACAGGGAATTGTAGTGATGATGTGTGACAGGAGAATTGTAGTGGTGATGTGTGACGTGGACATGAAGTGATGTGTGACAGGGAATTGTAGTGATGATGTGTGACAGGAGAATTGTAGTGGTGATGTGTGACAGGAGAATTGTAGTGATGATGTGTGACGTGGACATGAAGTGATGTGTGACAGGGAATTGTAGTGATGATGTGTGACATGGACATGAAGTGATGTGTGACAGGGAATTGTAGTGATGATGTGTGACAGGAGAATTGTAGTGATGATGTGTGACAAGAGAATTGTAGTGGTGATGTGTGACGTGGACATGAAGTGATGTGTGACAGGGAATTGTAGTGATGATGTGTGACAGGAGAATTGTAGTGATGATGTGTGACAAGAGAATTGTAGTGATGATGTGTTACATGGACATGAAGTGATGTGTGACAGGGAATTGTAGTGATGATGAGTGACAGGAGAATTGTAGTGATGAGGTGTGCCGTGGACATGAAGTGATGTGTGACAGGGAATTGTAGTGATGATGTGTGACGTGGACATGAAGTGATGTGTGACAGGGAATTGTAGTGATGATGTGTGACATGGACATGAAGTGATGTGTGACAGGGAATTGTAGTGATGATGTGTGACAGGAGAATTGTAGTGGTGATGTGTGACAGGAGAATTGTAGTGATGATGTGTGATGTGGACATGAAGTGATGTGTGACAGGAGAATTGTAGTGGTGATGTGTGACAGGAGAATTGTAGTGATGATGTGTGATGTGGACATGAAGTGATGTGTGACAGGGAATTGTAGTGGTGATGTGTGACAGGAGAATTGTAGTGGTGATGTGTGACAGGAGAATTGTAGTGGTGATGTGTGACGTGGACATGAAGTGATGTGTGACAGGGAA